AAGTTCTGTGGGTAAAATTCTATCAAATGGCATCACATGATACAGAGAAATTGTTCGTGAAAGGAAGAATCAGGTGATTTGGCAAACTTTTATTGTTCTTATTCTAAGAAGTTGCCACAGACATCCCAGCCTTCAACAACCCACCACCATGGCCAGTCAGAGCCATCAACATTGAGGCAAGATGCTACCTGCAAAAGGTCGTGACTCACTGATGGCTCAGTGAAGGTTCCCATTTATAAACAAGATATTTTTTCCAGGGGCAGGGGGAGAGAGGAAAAGTAGAGGGGGGAAGGAAAGACACTGGCATGATGAAATATTTAGCACATATATAGACATTTTTTAGAGACTCTAGAAATTTAGGATACCATATGCTACTTTTTATTATAAATGAGTTCTAGATGTAAGACAAAGATAGATAAGATGATGTAGAATTTTGAACATTATAGAAAATAACTTGAAAGTTATACAGATTTTGTAGTATTAGTTGTGACAAGGTTATACAATGATGGGTAAGAGTTTTTGGTTTTTCTTGGTGCAAAAAATGTTAAAAATCAGGTCTATAAACTTAATTTATTTTTTTCACTTTAGTGCTATACATTTCCTTCTGTTTGTTTTTAACAATACTGTTACTGACACCAAAGTAATGCATGTGCATATAAAAAGAGAAAAAAGTACAAAGAATTAAGTAAAATCACCCATAATCCCAGAACCCAGAGATAACGACTATAAATATTTTGGTAATTTTTTTTTTTACTCTTTTATCCATGACTATGTACATCTCTTAAATTCCTGAGTTCCATCAGCAGCATTATTTTGTAATCTTTTCATTTCATAAAATATCAACATTGTTGCCATCATTACACATTGATTTACGGTATTTTCCTGGTTTTATTGAGATACTTGACGTATGGTGTGGTGCAAGTTTCAAGTGTATAGAATAATACTTGATATATGCTTATATTCTAAAGTAATACCACAATAAGGTTAGTTTTATAGTTTCAGGTCCTCTATCCAAGTCTTTAATCCATTTTGAGTTTAATGTTTTCGTGTGCATAGTGTGAGATAGGGGTCCAATTTCATTATTTTTTATGTGGCTGTCCAGTTTTCCCAGCATCATTTATTGAAGATACTATTGTTTTTCTGCTGTGTATTTTTGGCTTATTAATTAATTGGCCATATATGTGTGGGCTTATTTCTGAGCTTCCTTTTCTGTTCCATTGATCTATGTTTTTATGCTAATACCTATTGTGATAACTTTAGCTTTGTAATATAATTTTAAGTCAGGATGTGTTATGTCTTCACCATGTTCTTCTAATATTATTGCTTTGGGGTTTTGGGGGTTTTATACAAAGTTTAGGAGTGCTTGTTTTATTTTTGTGAAAAATGCTGTTGGAATTATGATGGGGATTGCATTGAATTAGTAGATTGCTTTGGATAGTATGGACATTTTAACCCAATTAATTCTTCCAATCTGTGAGCATAGAATATCTTTTCATTTATTTGGGTCTTCAATGTCTTATTAATATCTTACAGTTTTTAGTGTATAAATCTTTTACTTCATTATTTAAATTTATTCCTGGATATTTTATTCTTTTTTATGCAATTGTAAATGGGATTGTTTTCTTAATTCCTCTTTCCAATAGTTCATTATTAGTGTATAGAAATACAACTAATTTTTGTGTATTGATTTTGTGCCTTGCAATTTATTGAATTAGTATATTCAAACACTTTTTTAGTGGAGGCTTTAGGGTTTATAATATGTCATCTGCAAAAAGAGACAGTTTTATTTCTTCTTTTCCGATTTTGATGCCTTTTATTTCTTTTTCTTGCCTAATTGCTCTGGCTAGGATTTCCAGTACTATGTTGAATAAAACTGGCAAGAGTGGGCATCCTTGTCTTGTTCCTGATCTTACAGGAAAAGCTTTCAGCTTTTCACCGTTGAGTATGATGTTAGCTGTGGGCTTGTCATATGTGGCCTTTATTATGTTGAGGTACGTTCCCTCTATACCCAGTTTGTTGAGAGTTTTTATCCTTTATCTTTAAAAAAAATTTTTTTTTTCTAAATGGAGAGGATATTTGGAAATGTACTATGTTATTGGGCAATAAAGGTATTTATTTACAATATCCTTAATGCCTTGTAACAGGTGAATAAACTGTGGTTAATTATTTAAAAAACAACAGTGGAATCTTTAATTCATATATAAAAAGCACAAGTTAATTTAATTTATGAATTGAGTACTTTGCAAGTACTGATAATTTAATGCTTGCATGATATTAAGTAAAAGCTATCCTATGAGAAATAAAGTACTTAAGTTATTTAGAAGACTATATTAAGTGGAACCAGAACTGATGATTTATTGTTTAAAAGATAGCCCAGTGCTATATGATAAAGGTAGCTTATGGGAGAAGTAATTTTTAAAATATTTTCTTGTACAATTTACCAAATTCAATTTAAAATAAATATTATCTGATAATTCCTTAATTCACCACTTACCTGGGAAATTTTAGCTCTTTATTTACCTTCCTTTTAAATTTATTTTAATACTTTAAAAAAAAATCTTTCTATTACAGAACAGTTGTACAAATGGTGCAAAGAACTGAATCTCTTCATCCAGAGTTACCAATTATTAACATTTTTCCACGTTTGCTTTCTCACTCCTTCCCTCCCTATATACCCATATATGTAATTTTTTTTTTCCTGAATCGTTTGAGAGTATTGCAAACATCACATTTCTTTACTACTTCAGTGACCAAAACACTTAGAATATCCTGAGAGATGAAGCTTTTAGACTTTTCAGGTAGCTTTATTTTTTCACTTTTAACAGCTTTATTAAGGTGTAATTTACATGCCGTACCATTTATTTTAGATTGCATTTTTGTTCCTTCCTTCCTCTCACTGGCAGTTGCTGGTACAGTGCTACACCTGGCTGAGCGAATGGTTTCTTTTGGAGCTGATAAAGCTGCCTTATGAAATCAGCTGACAGGTATATTATACCTACAGATGATGCTTTCCCCAAAAACGTTTGGGTTGATAATGACCCACTCAACAACTCCTAACAGATGTTTTAAGAAAAAGCTAAATTTTTGTCCAATTCTGTGACTGTAACTGTAAAAATTTACTTGAACTCAAATACTCATCATCATTTTACAATCAACAGTATTAGCAAGATCCTAGATCTAAAACTAACTTCTCTGAATTTTTGGTCTTGAAAGAAGAAGGTTATCTTTAGGATTAAAAAGAAAAGAAATCAGGTACTTTAGGTTTCATTCTTCATTCTTAATTTGCATGAGAGATGTTTGAAATGGCTGATTTCCATTTTTTGCTTTGACGGGACCGTTTGCTCTTTTTATTTTAAATAATAAATTGCTTGGGGATCAGTGTATTTTTACCGATTTAATTGTTGTATCTGAACTATTATGAAGCCAAGTTTTGCAGTATGTAACTCCTACTTACACGTTTCTCTCTTTTTTCCGCCCCCAGGGACGAACTGTAAAAGCAACATCAGCTTGACCAGTATATAATATTACAGTGGATTGCTCATCTCAATCCTCAAAGCTTTCGAAAACCACAGTATCACAGCTTGTTTTGGACTTTGTTACACTCTTTTTTTCAGCATGAAAATGTGTGGTTTTGTTAGGATTTCTAATTCTTCAAAGAGGCACAAAAGCCAAATTGGTAGAGAAAGGATGCAAAGTATGCATTTTACTTTTAAAATATTAAGCGAAGGCGTTCTGCAAAATGGGAAAGTTAGGTTTTTAACTGATTTGGAAGAGTGGTTTTTCTTTTCTTAGACACTTAATTCTGTTCCAATGTTTTTCAGATTGAGTTTGTGTATCAGATAACACCACCATTCACAAGTTAGACTTCTTTATTTTTGTGATGTCTGTGAGATGCTACTAAGAAAATAGAGATGAGCTTCCTATTTAAAGCTTTTGATGTGGTGTCATAGAATAGCATGTTGTAGATACAATCAGCTGCTTTGGTACCTTAAAACTAAGCAATTGTACATATTAACATTTAAGAAGGTGGAAAGTGATATTCCTTAACACTCAGATTGGACATAATTGACATAGTTAATTTCTCTTTAAAATTATAATAGACTTCCAGCTTAGTATTATTTTTTCTGTTTCTAACTTGCTGCTGATAATGTATATGAATTTAATGTGCTGTGTAAGCTGTGTCTTAGTTACTGAACAGTTTATGCAGTGCTGCTTTGCCAAATAAAGTTAAAAGTAAAGAGGCACTGGTGGTGTTTGAATGTATAATGAACAGCATTTCCACCAGATACAGAATGCTGACTAAGATCACAGAAAAAAATTATTTCTCTGGTGCTCCATTTTGTGAAATATGAATGGCATTAATTCAGCTGTACATTTGCAGAATGAATGTGACTGTTTCTTGAGAACAAGTACTACACCTCACTTACTTTGCTTTGCTTCACACAGGGTTTTTCCTCTTGTAGATGTACAATAAATGCAGGATGAGTGAGCAAATGAATTGACTGAATGTCAGGCAAGAAAGAGCTGTGTTTAGGATAAATTTACCAAAATCCATCTCTCACCTATAATGGCTTTATTATAATGACTATAAATGAATTTCAAAAAGTCAGGAGCACTTTGGGATCTTGTTTAATATTGTGGCTTTATACCTTTTATAGTGGGATCTTGGTTTTTTCGGGGTTTCAGAGCTTGAAGCAAGATGAGCACTAGAGCTAACAGAACTAGCACTCTCAGCAAAGCCCTTCGACTGCTGTGCCCAAACGCATGTGATTCTGACAAGTGGATGCTGAGCGAGGATGCAAGGCACCTCTCCCCCACTTTTTTTTTTTTTTTAACAGTTTTTTTTTTTTAAATATATTTTATTGATTTTGTACAGAGAGGAAGGGAGAGAGATAGAGAGTTAGAAACATCGATGAGAGTCATCGATCAGCTGCCTCTTGCACACCCCCTACTGGGGATATGCCCGCAACCAAGGTACATGCCCTTGACCGGAATTGAACCCGGGACCCTTCAGTCCCCAAGCTGACGCTCTATCCATTGAGCCAAACCGGTCTCGGCTCTCACCCACCTCTTAACGTCCTAACCCTCTCTTCCTTAAAAATGGCTTTAAAAATTATGCACACATCTTTTCACTTGTGTCTCTTTGGGGGAAAGATCTCAGAACAGGACACTGGCATTAGTTGGTGGCCAAACCTTACCAGTTTCAGTTCTTTATTGGCTTCAATTTGCTGTTAGTACAGCTTCTGGAAGTAGTCCATAAAGCCTCATTTGACTCAATGTCATTTGAGGTAATTTCAAAGGTGAAGTCACGAGGAAAGATGAAAAAATTCTGTTATTTCCTAGGGAGAACATCCTATATAATAAAAGGGTAATGTGCAAATAAACTGAACAGCAGAACTGAACAATCAAAACATAATATGCTAATGATATGCTAAGGTTGCTCAACCACTTGCTATAGCATGCATCAACCACCAGGGAGCAGGTGCTCCAATCAGTAGGTTAGCTTGCTGTTGGGGTCTGCCAATTGGGACTGAGCAAAATGGGCCACATGCCCCGGAGCCTCTCCCTGGCCTGATGGTGCACCAGTGGGGTCCCTCAGCCTGGCCTGCCCTCACAATCTGGGACCATCCAGGGGATGTTGGACAGCCAGTTTCAGCCCGATCCCGCAGGCCACTCCCTTGGGAGGGCGCCAGATGCAGGGCTCATGGCTGGTGAGAACTGCTTGGCAGTGCGAGCCTCTCTGTATCGGGACTGATTGGGCACCAACCCAGAGCGGGCACAGTGGGCCGGGATGAGCGAGAGCCTCAGGAGCTACAGATAGTGTAGGACTGGGTTTTGGCCGGATCACTGCAGGCCACCTGGAAGAACCCCACCTGTGCACGATTTTGTGCACTGGGCCTCTAGTATCTGATATTTGAATGACTTGAAACATTAAAATGCTTGTGGAAAGATGGAGGGGTAGCTATAGTCTACTTGCACTGAAGATGGGAAGAATTTCAAGTTTTCAGAAAGATTGTTTCAATGGGCCTTTTCTCAGGAAAAGAGAAAGTCCTGTTCAGTCCATCAGGCAGTGTATTTTGAAGATCTTGATTCTGCTTCTCTAATCCTTAATTTCCCTCTTTGTAAAATAGGGTAGGTATGGTTCAATCTGAGCCCAATGGTACAGCTCAGGAAATATTGGCAACTTATGATTATATTAAAGAGTTTGTTAAGGCTTAAGAATAAAGTATAATTTATTAACAGCCTATTGTACATGGGACATCTTTTCTCAAGTATTTCAACATCATAGCAATACTAAATTGTGTTTAATTTCTTCATGGGTAAAAGATGTGCTGAAAGACATGCCTTGAAGTTTTATTTTATTGGGTATGGCTATAGGTGACATCCTTCCTTAGAAAGCAAAGGGCACAGCATCCCATAGAGAGTACAAACAACCTACGTTCACTCACAGTCATTTCTCTAACTTGTCCTTGAGGAAAAATTAAATCTTTGCTCAGTTCTAAACTCAATAAAATGCTTGACTTTTTCAGGAAATAAAAAGAACCAATTTCCATGTTTGTTAATTTGTTGATGTATTCGGTTATATCTCCAACCCAAATTAAGCTCTTTGCTGAAAGAAACAACCTGTCTCAGGTTCATTCTGGAAACATGTCCTAGAATTTGAAAAGATTGGCCACTTACGATTAAAAACAACAAGAATACAAACACATATGTAAATAGGAACATCATGTGAGTATAGACAGGTATCACTATATTATTACTCTGAAGAATAATTTCTAGAAAATGTATAATTCTGGCATTAGGTGATGATGGGAATAATTTGCCTTTAAAATCCTAACCCCCCCAAAAAACAAAACAAAAAGAAGAGATGCTAAACTAGATGCCAGTTTTCTATAAAGATGAATTTGTGCAAAACTGCTTTATGCTCTGAGAATACATAGCCTGGCATTAGCTGATTGCACATTAAAACATTAAATAAATAATGGGAAAGATTCATTCCAATGGATGAAACAACCAGCTAATATGTAAAAGTGACATTTTTACCAAAGCAGTGCCCAGAAATCCATTCATCATTCTGCTTTTCAGTTTAAATGCACTTTTCTCTCCCATCAGTACAGGCTAATGTTGAGAACTGGTGACTATAAAAATGAGCTGTGGAGTTGGCGCAGGAAAGTACTAGTAGCCGCCTTGCTCACTTCGCCCTCAGTGAAGTTGGCTAAAATTTTTGACCTGCCAGGTTCTCTCCTTCCACCTGGATTTCCTGTATCGCTTCATGCCCTTGTTAGAGCTACTTGTATTCAGTCTGAGTTTTTTTCTCCCAAAGGTCAGCCTAGTAAGGTAGCCACCTCCATGACATAATGTCAGTCACTGGAGACATCTCACTTGAAATCGGTTCTCAGAAATAGGTTTTGCAGGGGAGAGAAGGGAGCACTTCGGGAGGGTAAGGTGAGCAATAGGAGGGCCACAAAACAAGGGGGAGCCGTGCATGAGGTGGCACAGGATGGCCAGGGGCCCATGGCTTCTAAAAAGTACGGAGTTATTAGCACTGCCGTTCTAAGGCCACCTCTTGGATACTTAATTTTCTGTCTTGGCTAACTACACATTTCCATTTTCAGGAACAGCTTACATAAATCAGAATTAGATTGTACGTCTTTAACTGTTTGGAGTCCTCTAAATTTCAAAATATTTCACATACTTCCAAGGAAAATATTTCTATAATAAACAAGAACAAAGGTTTGGGGCTTGTAGAATCTTCTGGGTTTTCCATACCTTCCTTAGCCCAGGTAAAAAAAAAAAAAAAAGTTTGTAAATATCTAAAACCCAGTATTCATATAAATTATAAGTGAAACGTCCCTGCCCCAGCTGTTTAAGTTACACTTAGAGATACATCCCATTGATGAGGTAGTCAGATTCCTCAGATGTAATGGGACGAGCTTTCTTCAGTTTCTGCTTGAGCAGGCGTAGTCTGCAAGCAACCATGAGAAGCAGCAACGCAGTGATGGCCAAGCCCAGTGTCAGCGGCAGCACAGCACCTGGAAACAGTGGAAGAAGAGGGTGGGCCAGTGTTTTTATTGATTTTTAGAGAGGAGAGGGAGAGAAACATCAATGAGAGAGAAACGAATTGGCTGCCTCCTACACACTTCCTACTGGGGATCAAGCCTGCAACCTGGGCATATTCCTGATTGGGAACTGAACCAGTGACCTCTTGATACATGGGACAATGCTTAACCACTGAGCCACACTGGCCCAGCAGCCTGGTGGTGGTTCATGACTAAATAAGCACTTCATATGCGCTATCTCATTTAATCTGAAGAATTAAAGTAGACAGATACCTGTATTGCCAGCATTTTGCAGATTAACTGAGGTGCCAAAAGATTAATTGACCTAAGAGCATATGACTTTTACATGGCAGGTGGAGGTCTCAAACCCAGACTCCTTTATACCCAAATGTTCTACCAGGTTCCTACAGAATTTGATGGCATCAGTGGGTACAAATGTTACAAATGTCAGATCAGCCTCATGCCCACTGTAGTAGACACCCTGTCAGCAGGCAAGAGTAGACACTGTGACCACAGGAACCTTCATTGCAGTCAACAGGTGATATTTATGGATTCACACATGGTCATTCCCTATGAAAATAAGTATGGACAACTGATTTCTGGTTAGGACTTTAAATTTTTATTTTATTTGTCTAAATCCAGGGAACCAAGTTTCAGCCAGCAGAACCATGGTTGAGAATTAACTTCAAAATATGCTGGTGTAATTCTGGCTAACTGGAAGGAAACAGGGTTTTCCTGGGGGGTTGTCCTGCACACCCAGACTAGAGGCAGCCTTTAGAGGCTTGCACGAGTCTGGGAGGAACAGAGTGTGCCCTGGGTCAGTCTTTCTTTTTTAAAAAAAAAAAAGATTGATAAATTTAATACGTTACACTTGATAAATTTAAGGCATAGAGCCTATTACTTGGATACATTTACACATTGTTTTTTAAAACTTGTATTTTATTGATTTCAGAGAGGAAGGGCGTGAGGGAGAGTTGGAAACATCCATGATGAGAGAATCATTGATCGGCTGCTTCCTGCACGCCCCCTACTGGGGATCAAGCCCACAACCCGGGCTTGTGCCCTGACTAGGAATTGAACCGGGACCTCCTGGTTCACAGATCCACACTCAACCACTGAGCCATGCCAGCTGGGTGATACACTTATATATTGTTATATAATTGCATTGAAGCAATATTTATCAATTACATCATGAAAGTACAATATTACTGTATATTCATTATACCATGCATTAGCTATTTATGGCTTATTTACTAAGTGAGATAAGACAGAGACAGACCATTACTATATATCACATGTGGAATTTTAAAAAGTCAAACATAAAAAAGCAGATCAGTCTTGTCAAGCGCAGGAGGCCTTATTTTTAGTCTGACCTACTTCCTAGTCAGCCCAGTCTTACAGATGAGATGGTGGAGCTATTTTTAGCTGTAAGGGTCTTGCCAACTGGTGGAGCCAGAGGAGCAGAATCTCCATTGCATACGCCTATTCTATAGCCTTCCATTTATTCCTTCTTTCTGCATTAACAGCCAGGTGCCTACCTCTGAGCTAAGTGCTGCCCATCAAAGATAATACACTGATGCTGACGAGCGCCAGTCCTCAGTGCTTTATTGCTTCACTCATTTAACTTTCACAGCCACCACAAGAGTTGGTGGAATTCTTATCCCCATTTTACAAATGAGGGAACCAAGGCACCGAGAATTAAGTGACTCGTCTAAGGCCGTATGTAAGTGGTGAGGCTAGGACGCTGCAGCCCCAGACAGTGCAGCTCCAGGGCCGCTGGAGTCCAGGACTGCTCCACAAGGTAAAGAAGGTCACAGCCTAGTGACCTCAAGTCTGGGAGACAGACATTTAGGTGAAGAAGTGCAGATGTGAGAGGAGTGGTCCCTGCATCTAGCTCACTGGACCTTTGCTGGAGTGACCTGGCTGTATGATGGATCTTTTTGGGTGAGCAAGGGAGATGTTTATATCTGACATTTCCAAATCGAGATTCCTAGAGGTTTTCTAGTAGATTTATGGGTTATTCGGGCCTAAATATGTGGGAGCCTTTAGCATCCAGGTGGTGGTTGCAGCCACAAAAGTGGGTGAGATTGCCAGAGAGAAAGGAAGGAAGGGAGGTTGGGAATAAGGCCCGGAGAAACACCGCCATTTAAGGTGGCGGACAAAAGGAGAGAGTGGGAAAGAGGAAAAGACGGGTCAGAGCAATGGCAGGGCAACCCAGAGAGAAGGGTGTCTTCAAAGCAGAAGGAAGAGACTGTCAGAGAAAAGTGCTCAGCTGCATAGGGGCTAAGGAGAGGTCTGGGGAGGTGAAGCCTCAGGAGGCCACTGGGCTTAGCGGTCAGAAACCCAGGGATGCCCCTGTACTCGGAGAGATTGGAGTGTGGCTGCAGCTGTTGGGAATGAGCCCATGAAGAAACAGATTAAAAACAGGTTGCCCTAGCTCAGTGGTCGGCAAACTCATTAGGCAACAGAGACAAATATCAACAGTACAACGACTGACATTTCTTTTGAGAGCCATATTTTTTAAACTTAAACTTCTAAGGCCACTTCTTTAAAATAGACTCGCCCAGGCCGTGGTATTTTGTGGAAGAGCCACACTCAAGGGGCCGAAGAGCCACATGTGGCTCGAGAGCTGCAGTTTGCCGACCACGGTCCTAACCACTTCACTATATGAAAGGTAATGAATCAGATTCTTTGAAAGAGAGCAAAATAAGCACATGGCATCACCTTGTGCACCTCATAATCTAGGCTAGTGGTCGGCAAACTCATTAGTCAACAGCCAAACACTAACAGTACAATATGGAAATTTATATATATATATATTTTTTTTTAATTTATTTATTTATTTTTTTACAGAGAGGAAGGGAGAGGGATAGAGAGCCAGAAACATCGATGAGAGAGAGACATCAATCAGCTGCCTTCTGAACACCCCGCCCTGGGGATGTGCCCGCAGCCAATGTACATGCCCTTGACCGGAATCGAACCTGGGACCTTTCAGTCCACAGACCGACGCTCTATCCACTGAGCCAAACCGGTTTAGGCTGAAATTTCTTCTGAGAGCCAAATTTTTTAAACGTAAACTTCTTCTAACGCCACTTCTTCAAAATAGACTCGCCCAAGCCATGGTATTTTGTGGAAGAGCCACACTCA